CGTCGTCCTCGCCCTCCGTCCTCCTCGCCCCCGCCCCCGCCCCTCGTCCCCCTCGCCCTCCGCCCCCCCTCGTCCTCGCCGCCCTCGTCCTCGCCGCCGCTCCTCCTCCGCCCCCCCCCCTCGCCCTCCTCGTCGCTCGCCCTCCGGCCGGAGCCGCACCGCTGCCGCCCGCCCGCGGTGCGCTCGGGCCGCCCGGGGCCTCTCCCCTCGCGGGGACCCCCTCGGGCGGCCGGCGCCGCCGCCGGCGTCGTGCCCCGCGCGCTCCCCGGCCTCGGGGCCCCAGCGCCGGGCGGTGGCACTGCCGCCTGGCGTCGAGAGTAGTGGCTCGGGCTGGACGGAGGGGGGGGGACTCTTCACGGCTGGACGCAGTGGCTCGGGCTGGACGGAGGCTCGGGCTGAAGTGGCAGGGGGCACCTTCAGCAACCCCCGACGTCTAGGATGCCTCTACCAAAATCGGGCCGGAACGAAAGGGGGGGATTGGGAAAGGGGGGGGTGCGAAATCTGCTGCATGCAGCTGGTTTTGGCCCCACCGAGGGGCCCATTCCCCGATAGACGGCCGCCTCCGGCGCCGGGAGGCGCCGGGAAGATCAGCTGCGCGAGCTGATTCTCCCCCCCCCCTTTGCTATCCCCCCCCTTCGCCTGGCCCGAGTGGCGAAGCGTCCTGGCTTTGCCTTTTTATCGAGGGTGGACAGACCTCCCACCCTGACACGTCGATGAGGGAATTGGCCGTTTTCGGTTCGCGAGAGGGCGTCGCGGCCGTCATTTCTGCGGGTCCAGGGCCGGCGGACTCGGTCCCAGGCCGTTTTCTCTAAGGGCAGGTTTGCTAAAGGGAGGTCTGTCCGCCGCCGATTTTAGGCCCACCAGAGAATGTGCTGAGAACCTTTTTGGGCGGTCTGCACGGAGTCTTCTTGGAGCATGTCTGGCTGAGGCTGTCTTGGTTTCACACATCGAGCGCACGTTCTGAGAACGGTGGCTTGTTCTCAGAGCACGTTGGGGCTCTAGGAGAACGCTTGCGTGGTGGGCGGCCGACAGGAAGGGCAGGACGGCTGGTCCCTGCTCGACCCTCCCCCCTTGCGAACCTCGGGCGGGTCCAGGATCGGGCAATACGTCGTGACGTCGAAGTTTGGGCTGGGCAGGGCCGAGGGTCAGAGAGCGCCCTCGGGCGGGTCTAGGATCGGGAAATAAGTCGTGACGTCGAAGTTTGGGCTGGGTAGGGCCTTCCTCTGCGGGACCACCAAGAAAGGCTTGTCGCGATGGTCAAACGCCTCGCCCGTGAAGCCGACGAAGAGGTGCAACATCCAGCCATTCGCTTCGCCACATGTCCAGAGTTGTGGCTCGACGCCAGCTTGGGCGAACAGGTTGGTTGCGCCCCTCGACGTCCGTTTGGGGTGTTCTGCAGGCCTGACGCCCCAGCCCTACTCAAAGTTTGGGGTTGGTGCGAGAGGTGCTTCCAGCGGGAGCTCACATCAAACTTCAGGATCGTTCCCTCCACTTTTCCGGCGTTCCCGTTTGGCGAGGCTCGGGTCCCCTCAACTGGAGATGGTGCCAACCCTGGCTTGAGCAGGCACCGTGCTTCGCGCGAGGGATCGGACATTTCCATCGGGCGGGGCTAGGACCGGATAAAATCGCGCAAGAGCGTTCTGGAACGCTCTCACAGCGTTCCAGAGCGCTCGGGAACGGCCGCGGCGCCCGATGCATCCTCTAGAACCGCCACAGGTCCAGGATACTCGATGAGACCCCGATCCGATTTTGGCCGAATCCTACTCCTCCTCCTCCGCCTCCTCCTCCTCCTCCGCCTCCTCCTCCTCCTCCTCCTCCCCCTCCTCCCCCTCCTCCTCCTCCCCCTCCTCCCCCTCCTCCTCCTCCTCCTCCTCCTCGGGCTTCGTCCTATAGAACCTCCCCCCCCTGCCCCCCCCCTCGCGAACCCATGGGAATCCCTGCGGGCACCCGCGCCCCCCAGGCCTGCCCCGAGATCGGGTGCCGTGGCAGTGTTTTCGCGCCGAGCCTTCTCGCCGGGCTTGGGGCCCGCGAGTCTGAAAAGTCCTCCTCCTCCCTCCTCCTCCTCCTCCTCCTCCTCCTCCTCCTCCTCCTCCTCCTCCTCCTCCTCCTCCTTCCTCCTCCTCCTCCTCCTCCTCCTCCTCCTCCTCCTCCCTCCTCCTCCTCCTCCTCCTCCTCCTCCTCCTCCTCCTCCTCCTCCTCCCTCCCTCCTCCTCCTCCTCCTCCTCCTCCTCCTCCTCCTCCTCCTCCTCCTCCTCCTCCTCCTCCTCCCCCCCCTGCGAAGCCCCTGCGAGGAGATCGGGCGTCTTTGCAATGCTTTCACGCCGAGCCTCTTCGCCAGGCCTGGGGCCCGAGAGTCTGGAAAGCTGTTGGCAGAGTGCACGAAACGTGCTGCGCGAGGATGGCGCCTGGGGCTCTGGGCCGTGGCCGTGGCTTTTGCTCGCGGTGCCGCATCCTTTTCGCAGCGTCGGATCTCGGTCGGCGGCGGGCGAGGGGGGAGCGTGAGAGGGGGCGGGACTTCTCAGAAGGCCCAGAAGTCCACCTGCCTTTCGAGAACTTGTTCTGAGCCTTCCCCGAAGACACAGAAATCTCCTCAGGCGAAGGCTCCTGAGAAGTTCCGCCGCCTTCCGAGAAGGCCCTCTCCTTCTCGTTCCCCTCCCTCGCTCGCCGCCGAGTCTCGCGATGCTGCGTCTTCTTCGCAGCCTCAGGTCTCGGGGTCTTGCGAGCCCCTGCGAATCCTCCTCCTCCTCCTCCTCCTCCTCCTCCTCCTTCTTTTCCTCCTCCTCCTCCTCCTCCTCCTCCCTCCTCCTCCTCCCTCCTCCTCCTCCTCCCCCTCCCCTCCCCCTCCTCCTCCTCCTCCCCTCCCCCTCCTCCTCCTCCTCCTCCTCCCTCTCCTCCTCCTCCTCCTCCTCCTCCTCCTCCTCCTCCTCCTCCTCCTCCTCCCTCCTCCTCCCCCCCCCCTGCGAAGCCCCTGCGAGGAGGCGCCGGCGCCCCTGGCCCGGGCGCGGGGGTGCCGGCCACCGCAGGTGCCGCGCGGCGGCCCCGACGAAGAGCGACGAGGGCGAGCAACGACGACCAACGGCGGCGGCGGCGGCGGCGACGACGACCGACGACCGACGACCGACGACCGACCGACGACGAGCGACGACGAGGACGAGGACGACGACGAGCGACGACGAGGAGGGCGAGGACGAGCGATGGCGACGGCGAGGACGAGCGACGACAACTACGACGAGGACAAGGGCGACGGTCGACGAGGGCGACGAGGACGACGAGCGACGAGCGACGAGAACGGCGAGCGACGAGCGAGTGGCGGCGACGAGGACGACGAGGACTAGGGGACTCCGGGGGCACGTCGGCTGATTGCCTCGCCGATCCTGGGCAGAGCCCGGCGGGCTGCAGGGTCGGTGTCCGGTGCGTTTTCTCGGCTTGGCCTCCCATGGCTCGGTGAGGTCCGGGTGCCCCCAGTCGACGTGGTGACCACACCGTCTGGTGATCGTTTTTTCATTCATCGTTTTGCCGATCGGCGCGGGCCCTCCCCCTCTCTCTCTCGCCCCCCCACCCCAATGGAGTAGATCTTGGCTGTTTGTGGCGCCCGCTTCAAGCAGGCGGAGTCTCTCCCCCATGGGACGCACGGTTGCAAACAGTCGCATTCAGCAGGGGTCCGGAGCCAGACAACCCCCCCCCTTCCCCCTCTCACCCTCAGGCCCAATAGGCCCAATGTCGAAACGCCGAATAAGAAAACGCTCGCACTGGTGAGGCAGTGGGGACTCGGGGTCACCTCACGGTTTTGGGGCCTGGGGCGATCCCCCAGGCAGTCTCGGGCGGGGAGCGCGCAGCAGTTGCCCCCGATGTGTTCTGAGAGCTCGTGCACGGGTGTCGCCATCTCGTTTTCTCCTCCCTCTCCCGTTGTCCTTCGCTCCTTCCCCCTCCCGACCTTAACTCCCTCGTCAAGTGATCGTTGTTTTATTGTTTGTTTTGCCGATCGGCGCGGGCCCTCGCCCTCCCCCCCCTTTGGAGTAGATCTTGGCTGTTTTGGGCGCCCGTTTCAGGCAGGTAGAAAATCTCTCCCCCCTAGGACCCAGTGTTGCAGACAGTCGCACGAAGCAGAGGTCCAGAGCCAGACCCCGCCCCTTCCGCCCAATGTGGAGACGCCGAAGAACAAAAAAATGCTCGCCAACGTCTTCGGCTCACCTTGGAGGAGCGGGCGAGAACGGTCTGGCGCTGAGACCGCTTGCCGACTCCCTCGTCGGTGGTACATCGTCCCTCACATACTTACCGTACTGGTCTTTGGGGGGAGCAGAGGAGCAGTTTGAGGAAGAGGGCAAGCAGGATGACGCGCTGAGCAAAGTAGGATGCGGAGGGACGACGAGGAAAAGGGAGAGGAGTCTCAACCGATAGCAGCACACTAGGTCTGTCTCGGGATGTACGTGATCTGATTATCTTGATAATCTGGGAAAGAATACGCAACCTCTTCCTGTGACTCAGGGGCCCCTGAACATCAAACGGCAGCGGTACAGCCATAATCAAACACTGTGCTAATAACCAATGCAACTGACACTGCATACACGAATGAAAACTCAATGAAACAAGGGTGGTATTGACACGGGCAGAAAAAGGAGTTAGCACAGATACATTACAAACCACACTGCCTAAACTCAGGGTTCCCCGGACGTTTACCAGGAGACTCAAACGGCGAACTCAAACTAAAGCTGAAAATTCCAAGCTTTCGGGAACGAGACCGAAACAAAACCACAGATACACATCACTGTCACCGCAGGTCCCCTGCACAAACCAGTCAAACTCGAATGTGAAACATACCGGCGGTCGCGTCAGCGACATACATCTCCTTAATTATTTCAGCACGCCGGGCGATCGGTCGATCTCGCCAGGCAAGCTAGTCCGCGCCTCGTGGGCGCTCATCTGGGTGTGCATCACGATGCACATCAGCTCCTGCGGCATCGCCGCCACGTAGCCGTAGGCTGGGTCCCCGTCGTCGTCCTCTATCCGATGAAAGCTCCGTGTGCGTACTCGGGCAGCGGCTGGAACCTCGGCGTCTGCGCATCCTGGTTGTAGCGGCATTGCGCCTGGCACATCATGTGGCGCACCTTCTTCTGGCGTGGCTGCTTGGTGTTCACACCTGTCGTCATCATCTCGGCCCCCTCGACGTAGTGCTTCGTCGTCATGCTGGGGTTCGGCTCGGTCTCAGGCTCACGCGGCCTGATGCTCTTCTGCTCAGCGTCCGTCGTAGTCCAGCGTGTCCAACAGGTGCCGACCCAAAATCCACAGCCGAAAGCCACGAGCATCGCCATCATGAGTCCGAACATGGCCAGCTTCACCAGCAGGTTGTCCCAGCCGTCGTTGGTCGGTGGGTGGAACAGCTCGACGCCGCTGGGCGTATACTGTACCACCTCAGCTCCAGAGCCTGTCGCTCTCGTAGCCGCCAACGCAGCTGCCAAACGGGCTCCATTCGCGCCAAAATGGCGCGTCCTGGCCTTAGCCTTCGCCTTCGCCACGGGCTCCTTCTCGAAGGTGTCGAGCAACTCCTCTCCTGCCTGGTCCAGCTCCTTCTCGCGTTGCTCCATCGCGCGCTTGGTGAGCTTCTTGCCGGCCACGAAGTCGGGGTCGTAGCGCAAGGCATGAACTCCACGGCGTAACGCATCCGCCATCATCTGGCGCGCCGAAAGCTTGGTGAGCTCGTCCGTCATCTGCTGCTGGGTGTTCACCCACTTCCACCCGGCGTTGACCTCCGCCAGCTGCTCGTTCACGATCTTCATCTCGATGGCCGTCCTCTTCTCTGCGATGCCCAACCCCGCCGTAGCTGACCGCGAGGCGTCGTAGAGGCACTTCGCGTCTGTGATGAACGGTGACTCTCCGAGCTATGTCATGGCGGCGTCATGTCCGAGGTCGGGCCTCAGACTCAGGGCCAAAAAGACCTTCACCCACATCAGCGAGTCGGCTCCCATCGCCGCGGCTTGTGCCTCGGCGGACAGTGAGCTCTTGCACAACCGCACCAGCTTCTTCGAGGCCCACTCCATGGCCACGAACGGCGTCGGGGCGCCGGCGTTGAGCTCGTCCTCGGGTCCGACGAAGATCTGATAGCCTCCTTGGGAACTTCCGTCAGGTCGGCTGGCCCAGCTCGCATCTGAGTAGCCTCCAACGCGCAACTCACTCCACGGCCTGTCGAAGCCGAAGTACAATCCCACGTCCGCGTTGGCCTTCAGGAGCCGTAAATCTTTGTTCGCGTCCAGCAAGTCTTGCACCGTCGCATGTCCAGTCGATGCGGCTCTGAACGATGCCGTCGCCGCCGCGATGATAACCCCCTGGGCTGCCGGCCACTGCAGCTGGCCGTTCAGGGTCCTCAAAATTGGTGAGCTCCTTCGGCGACAGCGCACTGGTGGGATCTGCCCGCCGGTGCGTCTCCACGGTGATGGGCTTCACCGCGTGCAGGTACTTCTCGAACTTGATGGTGATCGCGTGGGAGCTCAGGGACTGCTCCACCTCGCCGCCGGTGAAGACTAGGCTCGGCCCGAACTCCCACTTGCCGAACTTGAACTTCTCGTTGAGCATGCCCAGCCGCGCCTGGAAGCACTCGGCGTCGTCCAGCTTGGCGTACAGGTCATCCTCGCAACTCACGTTCTCGCCGCAGCCGATGAAGTCGCCCGCGCGCTTGCCGATCAGCCCGTCCACCACGAACGTCTGGCCGTCGAAGCTGCGCGCGTCGAACGGGTCGTCCGAGGGTCGCGCGGCCCGCAAGGACAGCAGCAAGCAATCCTCGAGCCAGTGGTTCTTGAACCCGATATCCCTCGTGACTTCGTCGGAGCGGTAGTGCCGGAGCTTGGGTGGCCGCGGGTCCCCAAAGCAAGGCGTGATCGTCTTGAGCAATTGTCCTGGCTGCAGGCCGATCTGGTGTACAAGCATTTCCCTCATCTCCTTCGTCGGGCTCGCGTACAGCTTGATGCCGTGGGCACTGACGTCCTCGGCCTGCAGGAACGCGGACTTCACATCCGCAGCGAACAGCCTCCACTTCCTCAAGGCCGCCCAAAGCAAGACCGTGTGTCGGCCAAGCCTGCTCAAAGTGGGCGCCTCCTTGTCGAGCTGGCCCTCGGCCACGTCTCGGTGCTTGAAACCCTGGTAGAGCACTCGCGCGTTGGCCACTCGCTTTCCGTCCTTCACCTTCCACTTCAGCAGGAAGCGTAGCGGGCAGCGCGCCGCTGGGTCCACCTCCGCCTCGTCGATGGGTTCCAGCCGTCGTTCTTGTTGAACACCTCGAGGGCCTCCAGCTTGGCTGCGTAGAACTGCTCCCGCCCTTCGGGTGCGAGCCTCCCCTCCACGATGGTGGGAGCCTTCCCTTGAAAGCCAGCATGTAGATCGTCTCGGTGGATTCCTCCAACAACATCATCTCGTCGCCCACCTCCTCGATGAGACACGACTCCTCCTGCTGCGGCGCGAGCCTGGCCCGCGACATGCGGGCGCGTTTTGCCGAGGGGATGCCGTCCAGCTTCTCGGCCTCCTCGATGCTCCTCTTGGCGGACTCGACTCGGCTCCCTCGCAGCGTTGCCACGCTCTCGCGCAGCGCTGGCCCCCGAAGGTGCGGGGTCTGGAGCCGCCTCCTCGCCACCCTCGGCTGGCTGGTGGGCCTCGGGAGCTGCCGCGGCAGCCGCTCCACTCGGCCCCTCTCGTTCTCGTCCATCTCGATCTCCATCGCGGTGTCCCTGGGCGTCGGGCTGCTGCGCGCCCATGTCGCCCAGGGCGTCGTCGTACTGGGGCCGCTGGCCCCCCTCGGCGAGGTCACTGAAGCTGCAGGTTCCCTTGGTCCGCCTCAACGCCCTCCTCAGCTTCTCGATGGTGCTGAGTGGGCTGTCGGGATCCTCGCGTCGTCCTTCTCGCTCTCGGGTCTCACTTGGCAGCTCGGGACGGAGCTGCTCCACCGTGCATCGGTAGATCGTGCGCCCGTGCGTGACCCACGCCACGGACGTGTGCATCACGTCGTCCTCGTTGACCTTCGACTCCACCGCCACCACTTACGCCGGGCCATGCCAGTGGCACTTCTCCAGGCCCGTCGACATCTCGGGTCGCCAGAAGTAGACCCAATCGCCGATCTGGCACTCGCGGCGCGTCGGCCTGCTGCGCGCCAACAGCGCAGCTCGCACGGCACGAGAGCAGTTGGCCTCGATGAAAGCCGCCCCCGCCGCAGCGCGCTCGCATCATTGCGCGCACCTCGCTCTTGGGGTCGACCAACGCAGCCTGCTCCGCCAGGCCGAAGTCCTCGTCGCACAAAGCGCCAGGTACCTTGGGCTGCGTGCCCAACACCAGCGTCGCGGGCGAATACCCGCGCGCGTTCCGTAAGATGTTCCGCTGGCTGGCGGTCATCCTGAGCGCGGTCTTGAGCGAGTCGTCGGGAAACTGCAGGTGGTACTTGCTGAGTTGCCCCGTCTTGACCGCATGGTTGCGCTCCATGAGTCCGAGCTTGTGGTGCGCGCCCTTCGGGTTCAGGTCGAGTGTGATGTTGTGCTTGCTCATCCACTGGTGCATCCTTCTTGACGTGTGCGAGCCTGCCATGTCCATCCTCATGGTGTCGGGCTTGCCAGCCCAGCTGATCCACAACTTCTGAAACAGCTACACCTCCTTCGTGAAAGTCCCCTTCGCGATCGGGTAATCCACTTCGCAGCGCGTGAACTCATCCATCATGGCCAAGATCTTTCGCCCCTTGTTCGTTCTTCCAGGTGACGTAGTAGACGTCGGTGTTCACGACCTCGTTGAACCGTTTCGCTGTCGGCAGTACAGCTACGCGCACTGCTCGAGGTCGTTGCTTGCTCAGGCAAACTTCACACTGGAAGAGCTTGGCGCACTGAAGCCACTCGGCCGGGGCCTTCGCGTGCTTCATGGCGGTCGCCAGCGCCGCGTTGGAGGGATGGCCCAGACTGATGTGAGCGCGCTTGACCTCCCGGATCGTCGACACGTTGAACCGCTTCATCAGTTCCTGCATCACGTCGGTGTATCCGATGGCGTCGATGTCCTTGGAGACCTCCTCGGCGGTGTTGATATCCTCAATGTCGTCGGCCATGCCCTGATAGGCGATCAGGTAGGCCATCCTTCGCGCCATCGGTCTCGGGTAGTTCTGAGCCTGCTGGGCAAGCTTGCCGCGCAAGGCCCCGTGCTCCTCGGTACAGCTGCATTTCATGTTCACGTGGTGTACAAGCTCCTTGTTCGCGGACTGGAGTCGCGTAGGCTTCTGGCACGGCTTAAGCTGACACTGGATCTCGAACCTCGCGCCCAGCCTGCGCTGGTCGAGCCGGCAGTGACATCCAGGTAGCTCCTGCCAGGTCTTGGTCTGCCAGTGTAGCCCTTGCCGCGGGCCTTCTACATACGCATGACGTCCACCGTTCTGCTGCTTCACAAATGAGTCCCGAACCATCTTGAGGAACGTCTCTTCCTCTCTCTGTCTGGTGAGGTTGATCTCCTTCGCGCGTTCCTCCGAAAGCTTCTCATTGACACGTTGTCAAGAGCACCAGATCCTGCATGGGGGTGCGGAGAAGATGTCATCGGGCTTCTCCTCATCGATCTCACTCAAGAAGCAGCGAATCACGCTGGGCTTGGAAAAGTCCCAGCCATCGGCCAGCCTGAACTGGATCACCTTGACCTGTGGGAACTCCAGCAGCTCCTCCGACAAAGCCCCTTGGTCCACGAAGACCTCCCAGACCACGCGTTCGCGGGGTCCTCTGAGCGTATCCCTCATGTCGGTCTCCGCTTGCTCCAGGGCCAAGATCAGGTCTGAGTAGGTGTCCGCGTCCATGTCTGAGAACCTCTCGGTCGTCAGCGCCTCGTCGTCGCTACCGATGTCGTAGAACTCCGGGGCGGTCTCGAGGTAGTAGGCATCGGCGTCTGGCACCGACGAGTCGCTGCCATCGTCGGTCTCTCCCTTCACCGAACTCCCCTCCGAGTCCTTGTCCGTCGAGTCGTCGCTGCTCTCCTCGCCGCCCGTGGGAGCGCCCTCGTTCATGGCGTCGTCTGCTTCCTTCCCAGCGCTGCCCAACAGATCAATGATGAAGTGGCCTTTCTCATCGCGCTCGGACTTCATCCAACCTTTGTCGGGGAGGTCCTTCATCATGAACGCACCTGCTCGGTAGTCCCGAATGAGACCCCACTCCTCCGCGCAGGGCCTGGCGATGAGCAGCGGCGTCCACCCCTCGACGAGGCGGGTGGCGACTTGCTTCGTGATGCCGAACGGCCACACCGACAACGTCACCGCCTTCTTCGCCTCCAGCGTCTTCCCGTCTCCGAACCTGAACCGTCGATCACTTTTCTCATACTTGACCTCGTGCAGCAACTGCTTCACGCGCAGCAGCTTCTCCCACTGCGCCCAGACCTTGTCGTCCATGACGGGCCGCGTAGCGCCTCCGTCGCTGATGCCCTTGCCGACTGTCAGCAGGAACACCTCCTCGGTCGAATTCGCGTACTCCAACGTCTCGACGTCCTCGACCATGTTGCCTGACTCGGTCTCCGTCTTGGTGAACCCGCCGCGACGGAATCTCTTGAACCTCGGGCCGCGCTGCTGCGTTGAGCCCGTCCCGGTTGATCCCGCACTCGATGCAGCCGGTGAGCGGGCGAAAAGGGTCTTCGGGAACTTGAACGCTGATGGATCTCGTCGTGGCTGACTTGATCCTTTGCCTTTGCCGCGTCCACGTCCCTTGCCTATGCCTGGGGCTCGGGCAGGTCGTGATTCACGGTAGTTGTTGTCGGGCGCCACGGCGACGATCGGGTAGAAGCGTCTGGACTTCGCGATCTCCGCCACGCGCTTCTTCGCATCCACGAAACTCAGGTAGGCCTCGTCGCGCGCGAGCTGCGCGTCCTCGACATCTTGCGGTGGCTCCTCTGCGATCTCGGCCTACTCGTCTACGTCTTCGTACTCGTACTCGTCTTCGTCTTCATACTCTTCCTCCTCCAGGTACGTGTCTTCGTAGCTCAGGCCTCGCTCCCACTCGTAGTCGTTTGTGTAATGAGCGTCGTCCTTGGCATTCTGCCCGAGCAGCATCTTCTCCACTCGTTTGATGTCACGCTTGTCGGGCAGACCCTCGGCTCCATACGTGTCGAGTAGAGCTTTCTTCACATTTTGCCAGCTGAGGCCGTCTACGCATTGACTCCGAACCTGGGCGGCACCTGACGGCGGGATCGCCGCTCTCGTGAGGAGGTGCCAGCCCGCTAGCATATCTGGAATCTCCATCCCCACTTCCTTCAGTTTCCTGAGGTCGCGCTGATGGCGTAGGCAGCACAACTTCATGGACTCCTTCTCCTGGCGGGCGAACCTGCCGAAGAACTGATCCGTCCGGGCTGGCAGCTCAGTCCAGTTGTCGTATTTGTAGTACTCGTCCAGGACCTTGAACAGCGGCCTGAAGGCCTCGTCTGTCTCTAGCAGGTCCAGGTCGATCTCCTCCGTTGCCTCGGCCGCCTCTCCTTGCAGCGAGTTCGTGACCAGGAAAGCCCCCTCGCTGATGGCGGTCGTGCCGCGCTTGCGGCAACACCTCTCGAAAACCTCCTAGCTTTCGTATGACAACTCGGTAGCCGTCGGTCTTCAGCAGCTCGTAGCTGGGCGCCGTCTTGGACAGGCCAGCATCGAGTCCTCTTCCCCCGTCCCAGGTCGAACTCTCCTGGCGCCACCAGCCTCCGCCTGTCCAGCCAGCCCACTCTTCGGCGTAGGCTGCCTCGTCGCCCTCGCTGCCGGGGACCCGGGTGGTCGCGGCAGCAGGGTCCACGCCGCTGGCGGCCGAAGCGGCAGCGGCGGCAGGAGGCGGTGTGCCCGGCGGTTTCGCCGGCGGCGGTCCTGGCGGCTTCGCCGGTCCGCGGGGCGGCGCCTCGCCGGCGGGCATGGCGGCTTCGACGGGGATGCCGGAGATGGGTGTGGATCTCCGGCTCCGCCACCAATCTCAACCGATGGCAGCACACTAGGTCTGTCTCGGGATGCACGTGATCTGATTATCTTGATAATCTGGGAAAGAATACGCAACCTTTTCCTGTGACTCAGGGGCCCCTGAACATCAAACGGCAGCGGTACAGCCATAATCAAACATTGTGCTAATAACCGATGTAACTGACACTGCATACACGAACGAAAACTCAATGAAACAAGGGTGGTATTGACAAGGAGGAGGTAGAGGAGGAGCGAAGCATGAGGACGGGAAGGACAAGAGGAGGAGGAGGAGGAGGACCAGAGTGGACTCCGGATGCGTCAACTATGTTGCAATACGCGCACCCGCCCAAGTCCCCTTCTCATTAGTCCAAAAAATAGTTTTGCAATGCTGGAGAAAGCCCCCCTTGCGCTCCGTGGTCCCTCAGGGAAGAGTCACGTTTTGAAAAGGAGCTGTCGTCCATACAGCCACGACGACTGCGACAAGATATGATCGTAAAGTCCAAGCAAGTGTCCAGCGAGTGCCGCTATTGAGAATGAGGCGGCACCATTCCGTGCACGTGTCTTTTCAATTTGAAACGCTTGGCCATGAGGCCTCGATTTGGAAATGAGCTGCCCTCCATCCATGTGACTGCTGCACGCTGTTTGAGTTTCCATCGCAATTCCAGGAATGGAGGTGGAACCGCCCCCAATCCGTTGAACTTAGTCGTGAGAAGTTTGACGACGAATGTGCGCGGCGCTAAGGAGATAGCCATACATTGAAAACGACTTAAGCTCCATCCGTGAACGTGCTGGAAGCTTCCACGACACAGGTGCGCGACGCTGAGACGAGAGCCTCATTTTGTGAAGGATCCGCCATCCGTCCATGTAGCTGTTGGAAACTATTCGGACGAGTGTGCGCGGCGCTCAGGCGAGAGCCACATGTTGAACATTGATTGCCCTCAATTCGCGCTACTGTCGGAAGCCTTTATGACGACTGTGCGCGTCGCTAGTGCGAGTGCCACATTCTGAACGGCATGTAGTTTATCCGCGTAATTGCTGTGGGGTCTGTTTGGGACGAATGTGCGTGGCGCTCATGCGATAGCCACGTTTTGATTGTTGGGAACTGTTACAACAGGCGAGAACACCATTTTGAAGACCACCACCCCTTTCCATCGTGTAGTTGCTGAGAGTTTTTACGACGAGTGTGCTCCGGGCCAACGCGATAGCTAGGATGAATTTACGCGGCGTTTCAGGCGAGAGCCACATATTGGCAACAATCCACGCCTTTCCATCCGTGTGGCGGTCGGAAGCGTTTAAGACGAATGCGCGCTGCTTTATGGCGAGAGCCATTTTCTGGAAACGACCTGTACTCCATTCATGTTGCTGCTGTTGGGAACTTTCAAGACGAACGTGTTCCGTGCTTAGGCGAGAACTACATCTTGGCAACCGCCACCCCCTTCAGAATGTGTGCGGCGCCCATGAGAAGCGCATATAGGAATTTACCTGTTCTCAATCCGTTGAGCTGTTACGAGCTCTTACGGCGAATGTGCGCGGCGCAAAGGCGACAGTCACATTTTGAGAATCGCCCATCGCTTCCATCCGTGTAACGGTTACAGATTTCAATATTGGGGGTCGTAAGTTCGGGGGACGTCTCAGGCGAACTGCAGAGCCCGCCCTACCGACACGGGGTAAGATACCAGGAAGTTGGATGAAAGAGGATGGTGGGAGATGAGGGACAACAGGATGGGGCAGCAGGATGAAAGGAACATGGTGTGAGGGAGGATGAGGAGGAGGACCTAGAGGTGCAGGGGAAGATCAGGACGACAGAAAGGTCATGGCGGAAGAGGAGCGAAGGAACATGCGGGGGGAGATGCGTGGGGGAGGAGATCCCTCCCCCCACGCATCCCCCCGCCCTTCTTCCTCGAATCCTCTTCCTCGAATTCTCTTCCTCCTTCCCAGTAGGAGGAAGAGAATTGTTGACGCTTCGAGTATCCCCACCAGCGGTCCGTAGCCTCTGGCTCAAGTGCGCCACATCGTGCAATATTATCTTCAGTACCGCGCTTGCGTGTTCGTCGATGCCGAGGTCTAAGCTTGCCTGGCTCGCTTGCCTAAGGCTGCAGACCGCGTGCGCGCTGCGTGGCATGAGCGAAAGCAGCCTTGCGCGCGTGAGTTCCACAATCGCAGATCCTGAGTGCAAGGGTCGAAAGCCGCAATGGACTCAAGACGGCCCAGTCAAGCGTTTGAAAGGGCCAGTGTTTAATATTCACATACCGGGTCCGTATCATACTGCAGGACGCCATATGTTTACAATGGCTGACAGTGTTGGTCATATGAATTGGACCAAGTACCAGAGGTGGTCAGATCTGAAGAAGGCAGAGCTATGGGAAGACATGCACTGGACCGATCTTGAGGATAGGTTCTTAGAAGGACGCAGTTTAGGTGATCTTGGCTGCGGGACCAGCAAAGCGACGATACTCAGCACTGTCGCGCGCCACCCTCTCAATATGTTTTTGCACAGGTGGTTTGCGTGCAACGACTGGAACAAACTAAAACACAATGATTCGGAGCCGTGTACTGGCGATGCCCTCAAGGCGGACAAAGTTTGTCAGCACAACGATCCTGTCTGCCAATTGGGAGATGAGCCATGCAAGTATGACAACGTCATTCTTCAAGCGTTCGCTGGAGGTGATCGTGTAAAGACCCGGGCAGATCTCGAGCTGGCCAAATCTCGATTGCGTGAGTTCGATTTGATTTTCATTGTTGAGCATTTCAGCCACACCCTTCAGCTTACCACCACGCGATTGGGATGGAGGCCACGACCACTATCAGATGCACTGAATTCTACACTTCACAAGGCTGAGGAGAAGGAAAACCAAGAACGGTTCACGAGTAGTGGTATCACTCCCGAGCAATGGCAACGAGTTATTGAGCGTAACAGTCTCGACATTGAGCTCTACGACTACATGCGCGAGCTATCTTTTGGTATGTTGCAGGCAGATGGACTCCCAGTGCCAACAGAGGACGAGCGCGCCGTTGCCCCGAAATGGGACAGCAAAGTGCTAGTGTCGAGGCGCGCAGCAGAAGCCCACATGGAATGAGGAATCCTCATGAGCAGTCTCGGAATCAGCATCCACTCTTTCTGGTGCTGTCGCATGCCCGCCTGTTGTTGCCCGTTCCTCCTCCTCAACCTCACCTTGTGATTATGATGCACCCCCCCCCTGAAGAGGAAGACGGGGAGTAAGCGGAACAGGGCCATACGCCAGGGGCCCTGCACATGAACCCTCACATTGCTCTCCCCCCAACCTCCCAGCCCTCCGTGTCCTCGTCCTTCCCCTCCTTCCTTGCCGTCCTCTGAAGAGCAGCCTGGACATCCTGCCCCCCGTTGTTCTGAAAAACACGTTTGGGCAACCCACGCGTTTTCGGCATCGGTTTTGGGCGCAAGTTTGCCACGGTCTCATGTCCCGGATCGGCCTGTGGCCCATTTGCCGTCGCTTTACCGTGTCCATGATGTGCTGTAATACGAGTACACGTGCACTAGAAGTGAAATCTCAATGGCGGTTCCTTGACGTCCATTCTGTGAGCTGCGGTTTGCAAACCGTTTTGGGCGATTCAGGAGCGAAAGCGCCTGAGGAGGAGGAGGAGGAGGGGGAGGAGGAGGAGGAGGAGGAGGGGGAGGAGGGGGAGGAGGGGGAGGCAAGCTAGGTGCGCTCGCGTCATATCTGACATCCTACCCCTCCCTCCCATCCCTTACCATGGCATAGATCCCCTCTCTACTAGCACAGTCGGATGTCGAGCAGGGCAATGATCCCGAAAGGGTACGCGATGCATTGTAGAGCACGGCATGGCATGGCGTAGAAGAGCACCGCAAAGCGTAGTATCAACCTAGCATTGCTTTGCATGCCGTGGCATGGCACGGGAAATGACGCCAGCGCTGCAGCGGGAGCACGAGTCGAAACGAGCGGAAGCGCGGAAATGAGGCCAGCGCTGCAGCGGGAGCACGATTCGGAACGAGCGGAAGCACGGAAATGAGGCCAGCGCTGCAGCGGGAGCACGATTCGGAACGAGCGGGGCCCGAAAATGAGGCCGGCGCCTCAGCGAGAGCAGCATTTTGAAACAACATGCAGGCGAAAACCCAATTCCGGGGAAACCTGTGTGTAAGAAAACAGTACGCGGGGGGGGGTCGAGCACTGTCAAACCGTCATCAGGGGAAGAGTGAGAGTAGCATTCATATTGAGTAATTGTAGAGGGAGGAGGGGGAGGAGGGGGAGGAGGGGGAGGAGGAGGAGGGGCCCCGAGGGTCCGAGGTTGCCAAGGGGGGGGTCTGACTGGGGGCGTGTGGACATCATGGCCACGGCCATGGCATCTCCCCGGATTTCATGGCTTCCATTTCTTATTACCTAACAGCGAAGACTGATAGGTTTCTAGTGGTCTCCAAAGAGAGCATCATGACTCCTCAGGGGGGTCGGGGCGGGACCCGGGGCGGCTGCCGCCGAAGCCCAAATCGCTTCGGACATCCTCGCAAAATCGCTCTTGGCGCTGCTAGAACTCCATTCCCGGGCCACATTTTGAATGCCCGGAGCCAACTGTAGGCCACTTCGTGGTCTTCGAGTTCCCAGAACTCCATTCCCGGGCCACATTTTGGATGCCCAGAGCCAACTGTAGGCCACTTCGTGTTCTTCGACTTCCCAGAACTCCATTCCCGGGCCACATTTTGGATACCCGGAGCCAAGTGTAGGCCACTTCGTGCTCTTCGATTTCCCAGAACACCACTCCCGGGCCACATTTTGAATGCCCGGAGCCAATTGTAAGCCACTTCTTGCTCTTCCACTTTCCCAGAACTCCACTCCCGGGCCACATTTTGAATGCCCGGAGCCAACTGTACGCCACTTCGTGCTCTTCCACTTCCCAGACTTCCAAGACTCATCATCTTCATCATCACCATTGTCCCCGTAGCCTTCTTGGCTACAGCCCTGCTTTCGA